TGTACAACGGCGCTGATGGTACCTAGATTCAAGGGAGACTAACAGCAATGAAAAAAGTATACGGTGACGAGTACTAAGCTCATTGGCTAGTATAAAATCTAAAAAACTGACCTACAGTAGACAGGAAGCGGAGTGTGATGCTATTTGCAACAGTGAACTCTTTAGCTACCCTTATGTAACCTCCATTTCTTCGTAACCTAACTGAGCCCTCAGCTCAACACCTGTTCACCCTGAGCCATGAAAAGTAAATATTTTATTCCTCACTCCGAGCAAACAAACTTATCCTATCATCACCAGGACTCATATTTCCAACTTATGTCTCACTCTAGTTATATCATGCAGACCAACCATCCCCATACCTCCATTCTACAATACTGAGGCTAACGTTTAGTGATCATAGGCTTCTGCAAGAAATATTGCCATTAGCAAAAGGGAAAGAAGCTTCTTCAAAATTAATTTTATGATGGTATACGTTACAAGAGTATCGGCGACAGGTTGTGAGACAATTCGAAATATAAAAACAGCTTGACAACAGGAGATGGCGGATCTGATGGTAGGGACTTATGGAAACCACCCTCATCTACGAGACCCTCAAGAGCGGTTGAGGCCTTTGGATGCTCGAAGACACGGCACAACAAACGCTACGAACGACGCTGAGTACTTGATAACCAACGCAGCTACCTCCAACCTTCTCCATGTCAGCCGTACCGCTACGATTATCAAAGAGAGCAGAGGCTAGTGGGGGAAAGAAGATAGCAAATGGTATAGGTTAAGTAATGACAGGCTAAAAGGCTAATGTACAACAGCATAAAGAAAAACAGCCTTGCAACAGGAGATGGCGGATCCGATGGTAGGGGCCCATGAAAACCACCCTTATCTATGAGAAGCCCAAAAATGGTTGAGGCTTTTGGATGTACGAAAACCGCACAACAAAGATCATGAATAACATCGGATATCTGATGACCAGTGGAACGATCTCTAGCCCCCTCCATGCCAGCCACATTACAACGGTTGGCAAAGAGAGTAAGGGTTAACGGGGGAAAACAGCAACGACAGCACTAGGCATAGGTAAAGTAGTGATGGACTAAGATAATCCAGAAATGTTTGGCGCGAGACGGCGGGTCTGATGGCAGGGACTAAAGGGAAACACCATCGTCTGGAGTCATCGGACCCAGTATACGCCCTGAGTGCCGACCGCTTGAATTACCTGGGAAGTGGGTTCATCTGTTCTCTAAAGGCTCAGTGACCGACAGAAGTTCTGCACGAATACAAAGGGCTCGGCCGGCTTTTCGTAACTTACGCCACCCATGACGCGGCCGTGACATCCGAATGTCTATTTGGGTAGCGTGTACTCCACAACAGTCCACTCTGTTTTACTCTATGGCTGTGAAACACGGCCGTTGGAGGCGGGAGACGAGAAGGGGCTTCGGATGTTTGGCCACCGTTGCCTTCGTAGCACTGGTCGTATTCCGTGGAGCCACTGCGTGAGAAATGCAGAAGTCAGGTATAGAGTTTTAGGGAGCAGAGGTAAATCAGTAGACGAGGTTGTGAACCTTCATCGATTGAGGTGGTTGGGACACGTGCTACGCATGCCTAGTCACCGACTGCCGGGTCACACAATGTTGGCCGAAGTAGGTCCGGGCTGGAAAAGGGCTCGAGATGGCCAAGCCAAAGCATGGCATCAGTGCATGAAGTCTTTGGCTGTTGGTTTATGCCATGTGGGGTGATTTAGGTTGACCTGCTGGGGTCCGTGAGATAAGAGAAACCAGCGGTTGAAGACTGTGGGTGATATAGCTGAGAACCGATATCAGTGGCGCAGATGTACGTACACATTATCCGCATCTTTACGCTGTATCGAACCTCACCACTTTCTTATTGCTCTTCTCTCTCTCCTCGTACTTCATACTTTTCCTGGCTGATTCTTCTTCCCTTCGTCTTCCATTTTATTGTCTTGTTACTTGGTGTCCTGGTGTCAGGTGCGGCAACTCAGACTGCCACACAGTAATGCCTGGTCCAACGTCAATAGATGATAGTGACGATGATGATGGTAGCTGAATCCTGTCTTCTCCTGGAGATTTGTGACAAAGGGATGCGTGTAACTGGCATTGAACTCTGCCACAACGACACAGAGCTCAGAGCAGGAGTTGGGGTGACTGTCTGAACTCCCTTTCGGGGCAGCGACGTGGCTCTCGGTCAGCTCTCGGAGTCTACGGTGCCACTTCACCCTTCACCGTACCACATAGCTGCCCGGAGTCATACTTCGGTCCCGCACTAGCATCCCTCCCCATAGGGCAATGGTCATCAGGAGAATCTTAGCGACTCTCCGCAGCTTGCGACTCCGAAAGCATCGCTGGCAAAAGAAAGTGAAGATGGATTGAGCATACAACGAGAAGACTGTGTCAGGCCAGGCCGTCTGGCGGAACCCAAAGGGGAAGTGACGAGTTGGACGTCCCACGGTGACATGGAGGAGATCGTTCGAGGAAGAAATGAAAGTTTCTGGGCAGTCGTGGGGCCGGGTTCAAAAGACTGCGGAGACGAGAGTTTAGTGGCGGCGTGCTACTGAAGCCCTATGCTGCACTAGGAACCCACAGGACGAAAAATATCATGAATCATCGCCGGTGACTTCTGGGCTTCCCCCACCCTCTTCGAGACAGAAGAGAAACACACTAGCGCCGGGGCACTCGTAAAGCCAAAGTGAGATCTCCACGAACACTTAATACAGCCATACAGACTCTATGAGGAGTGGAAGCGAGCGATCCTCCTACCTTTATCTAAGGGAGAAGACAGGAAACATCTTGGCAGCCACAGAACGGTTACCTGGCTCCCACTACCATCTAACATATTAGAAAGCCTGATGGCCGAGGAGATCTGGGAAGTCCTTGGCAGGGGGACACTGTTCATACTGCTCAGAATGCCTTTCGAACCGGTCGTTTTTGAACCGCCGAATTGCTGACTGCCTGGGACGACTGGGTACTTAGCTGGGACAGCAGAAAACCGGTACATGCTTCTCTTCTTAGCCCAGCTAAAACATTTGAAAATGTCGCGCTCATAGTCTCGTTTCGCAAGATCGTATCAGCCGGCGCCAGCGAGCCCCCGCCCCCGCGATTTATAGCGTGCGTGGAAGGCAGACGTTTCTGCGCCATGGTACAGAGAACGTGGTCAGAGTGGAGACCATCCACATCAGGAGCATCTCATGGAGCAGTCCTGAAACCTCTTCCTCCTGTTAGTCGACAAACTACCACACAAAATCTTCCCACTCACCCTCCTCTTAGCTGATGGTGATAAAACTAGGACGGGAGTAGATGAGGAGGCCGATTGCGCAGCATTCCAAAGTGACCTGCGGCTACTGGAACTCCGGTTAGCGGAAAACGGCTTGGACTTCAACCCAGAAAAGTACGAAGCAATGCATATAATTAGTGACGCAGCACTCATAGTTGAATTCTAATACAGTTTGAGAAACTGAGCTATCACTAAAGCATCACCAAAGACTTGTGGCTCATTTTTTTCGGACACCCTGAACGTCAGGTTTAACTACAAGGAAAAGGCAACCGAAGCGAATGCCGCCTTACACTTCCATTTAGACAGCTTCGTGCCCTCACTCCTAAACTGTTTTTCATAGTTTTTGAATTCCATGTACGCCCCACTTAGTGGTATTCAGTGTGGTGGCACCCCAACACTAGAGAAACTCCAGCCTCCTCGAAAAAATGCAGAGATCTGCAAGAAAACCAGTTGTGGGGCTGAGGGGAAAGGCGTACTCTGAAAAACGAGAACACCTAAACCTCTTCAATTTGGGCCGTCACAGAAGGATAGGCGACCTCATTGTGGGCCGCAAGATCATCCGTCGGGCAAGTCACGCAAGCACACTAACTCTGTTTTGAAGCATGGCAACCATCAGGAGGGGACTCTGACAGTGTGGCGCGCCGCACAGCCAACATCAGGCCTGGGTCTAACATCTCCTTAAGAGTATATGCTTCGTGCAACGTGTTATCGCGGGATGAAGTCACAGCCCTCGAAATAGACACAGCCAAAAGACGGTTAAACAGCTACGTCACTTTGTGAGGCTTACTACAAACTTACCCATGGTATTACTGACCTCAGTCGCCCGCCAAATCTCCCTCCCTACTTACCACTCACCATCTCTTGTTGATACACCTATGCTATCTACTCGCCTTTAGTAGCTGGACCCGTATTGTCTACTTTCACCCTTCCGGTAAGTCCCACATACTCTTTCATCACACCGTTATTCCTACTCAGGTAAGAGACAGGAAGGACCCTCCATCCTCCCGGCAACCCTTGATCACTCTATAAATCACACCTACCAACTCATAAAATCACTCACCTTATCCGGGCTAAAAGCGACAGATAGAAGAAATTTTATTGCCCACTGCAGAAGCAAACCAAACAGTGAGTATCAAGCCCCGGGAAATGGACGCGAGTGATCAAGACTATAAATTTTCCTCTTTCACGCCACTGATGTCGGTTGTTGGGGACTTTCAATATCTGTTTTCGTCAACAGCTGCGTTTTCCTTCATCTGTATAGTTTAAGCAGCTACACCGGCGATAATCTGTTGTAGTAGCTTGTCTGTCAAAAGTTAGACTTCATAAAGATCGCCTTAAGGACCACGTAGTCAAAAGCACCTGGTTTCCACTATGTGAACTATTACACACTTCATATAGAGTTTTAATTTTCCTTTTCTATTTCAAGCGGTAAGAACCGGTTTTTGCTTATTTTTAGCCACATATTACTCGTTAGTGGTACTGGACATAGATGCATGATTCAGGAAACTTATTTCTGATGTACTCATTTGACTTTCTTTTTCTTACCGTCACTTGTTGCATCAATGGAGTGAGCAAAATTTGCGTGCCTCATGTCGTCCACCTGAAGTTTCATATCTGAGAACAGACTTTAAACATTTGATTCGTTATGCAGGCATTACTGAGTTATACCATCTGTACTGAAACCTATACGTGTTTGAAGCTTCCATTGGGGATACTAAATCCAAGGACAGTTGATACTTCCAGGTCGCGGAAACAATGAATCGACTGAAGAAAGCAATATGCCTCGTGCATGATGTCACTCGAATTTGGAGACGTTCTATTAATCTCCAAGAATTCCAGTGCAAAAAATTAATGTCTGACTATGGCATAAATGTACAACGATTTGTATTAGTTCAAAGTCAGGCTGAAGCCAGCAAAACTAAAGATGTCTTTAAGGTAATTATATTTCTGCATAGCCAAGCACTGAATTATAGGCTAAGGAGTACGTTGTTAAAGCCCAAATACCAGCAGGTGGTAGGGGAATGGGCATATTTCAGGATGGGTTCAAGGGTGGAGTTCATCTGACGAAAGATCCGGATGAAATGACACTCATCGTCTCTAAGATGCTTGGGAATCACCTTATTACAAAGCAGACAACATCCAAGGGCATTCTTGTCAATCAGGTTTGTTTATCTCTCAAATTTGGGTAATCTTTAACTTTTAAGTTCAAACATAACTATAGTTACGTCACATTTTTTATTTATGCACTAAACAACTTTGGCAACAGGGAATAAACCACAGTTAATGGTGTGACTCAACCAGCTGCAGACGTTTATGTGCTAAGCTACAAGTCGTACTAGTGTGAGGGTTCGGATACACTTCGGTTACCCAGGTTGAAATAGATAGAATTGGCTGTTGTGTACAATATATAAATTGGTCCATTGAATTCAGTTGACAGGAAATCAAATTACTTAAACTGTCTTGGATTGGTAAACTGCCTTTTTCCAGAGACTAGTGGTTAAGTTGAATTCCATGCACCAATTGCTAATTGTTTATTTTGTTGAATGATAGAAACTGATGTGTTTAAATTTCCCTGATAGCTAATCTTAAAGAATTGCTAGTGAATATACTCGGACAACTTTGCAGGACATCTCAGGTCTTAACATGTACCTCTCCAACTCTACGGACCGTCAGTAAAGTAGCGATTTTTGCATAAAAGATGATTCACTTATGATCGAGACGTTGTGTAAAGTGGTTTCCATACGTTAAATCTCTTACTAAGTAGAAATAATTCCTTCGGGAGACTTGCAATCACAACCGTTCCAACTACCGGTTATGTCGTTCTACGCTACATAAAGCATACGAAAATTTATGATTTATTACGGATAGTGAGCACTTACATCAATAGACGGATTGAAAATCATACTAAAATGTCGGAGTGAGTTTCTTACCATGGACCGCTAAAACTGAACGTTCGACTTGGTATAACTACGTACCACTTCAATTTATCACAAGTCAAACCAACACATTCAGGTGAGAACCAGCAAACTGTAAAGCAAACAAGTGAAATATATCAACCTTCATGGAACCTTCAAGATAAAACCAGTTAGAGAAGCAAGTAGCAAACTGTGGCATTACTTTTTAAATGGAGGTAAAACACTGAATTTGTGTAACTGTTATCGGCTCTGCTGTGTCACCTAGATTATACTGTTTGCAGTTTAGTCGCTTGCGGAATACTTCAATCAATTCACTTGTTTTCTGGCAAGCATTTGTTGTATCTCTCTAAAAAACCATTCACTTCCGGTGTAATTTCTTCTAAAAACACTCGAATACGTTAATTAAATCCCTTTATATAGGTAACGGTAAAAATCAAGCTAGACGAGCAAACTTGTCAGATCATATAGTGTCAAGTTGCAAATATCTTTTTTACCAAACTATATTATCAGCGTAGAAAATCCTGATATCTAGTACCATCTGAGATAAAAAGATAAGTAACTTAAATTTTATTTGCTGATTTAAAACCGATACAATAACTTACAATTTTAGATGTTCTGTTCTCCAGACCTGGGTCATATACTCGTAGCCATTTGATCCTCTTTTGTTCACTCTATGAGATACAAAACGTATGCTATGTATATGGTCATTGAGTGGTATCGCTGTTGTATCAACGCTAGACATATGTAGCAATGGAAATGACTCAGTACTTGCTCCATATCACTAACAGTCTACTACTTTCAGAATCCAAAAGATTAAAATAATAAAAGATGACTATCATGGTCCTATGGTTAGCCTGTTATAGTTTCGGACAACAAACTGTAGCCGGATTTTTATCTAGGTGATTACTTTACCATGTGGTCCCAAACTAACAAAAGTAGATTTCGCTCCTCTATAGTGCACAAGTTCAAGCATGAATTGTCTTGGAGTTTTCTCTGCGAATGCATGCGGTAGTCATTGGCACAAAAGACGGAGAAGGCCTCGACCATAGTATGTACTCGGTAGTTATTTGGTCTTATCAAGAAAACTAGTTGGTGATGGTGTGGAAGACTGTCAACGGAGCAGATAAGCTTCTGATAACGTTTCAAGGCAGGCAACTTCCACGTCCCCTAAGACATTTTGAAGAACACTTCAGCTGGTGCTTCAGATGTCACAGATTCATTCCGAACGTGAATGCTTTGCACGCATTAGTTCCCAACCCTCACTGAGGAGTGAGGGGAGTGTTTTAAATCTGAAACGTGAAGCAGCTGAACTTAGTGGTTTGTCACCAGTTTTCAAGGTTTAAGGTAAAGAAATAGTAGATGGAGCTGCTAGTGTATATTTGAATCAGAGTTAGTCCTATCAGACTGATTTTCAATTTTATAAAAGTATGAAGTCGTTTGGCAACCATGAAGAAATCAGTTGGACTGCATTGTACCCAACATCATAGGGTATGTAATCATGCAACTTCTAAGTGGGACTGAAGGACCACAAACTGGAGTAAAGCAGGCGGGTTTCAAGACCCTTTGATGGGCATTGGAACACAAACATCCTTACTGACGCTCGGCGTTTGCCATGTTTCTTTATTTGAAGTCTGCATTCCATCCCGTCAATCAAGAGGCATTGTGACAGTGTCTCATTGCATGAAAAGTATCAAGCGAGTATGTTATGCTAATCAGAACTGTCTACTTAGCCTTTTACTGCTTTGTAAGGATTTTTAGAGAGTTATCATTTGGATTAACGATCACCAGTGGTCCCTGCCAAAGATATTCGCTGTCACCATTCCTGTTAAACTTTGCTACAGACGTGCTGTTGGGTGCAACCCCAAGCACCTCCAACTTCTCAAGGATAAATTTGTTTTCAGAAAGACACCTGGTCAGATAGAGTACGCGGATGACAGTCTCCCTAGATGAAGACGCTGGCTAAATACAGATTCTTCTCAGTATTGAACTAAAATCATCGTGTGTTTGGTATCTATTTTCAGCCTATCAAATGTTAAGTGATGTTTGGGACTGGTCGACATCGACTCCTACTTTAAGGATAGGAAGCGATGAGGCGGAATGCATTGACAGTTTTGCTAACCTGCGGAGTCGTATCACCTCGAATGGTTTGGCCTCTGACAAAATCTCAACTCAAATATAAAAGGTCCGCTTGGCACTTGTAAAACTACGTCATTTATGCTATCGGCGGGATACCCGACCACATATCAAAGTACGAGTTTACGATGCAATCGTTTACTGAGTCATACTGTAAGTTTGTGAGACATGCAGGTTAGAAGTTATAGGTGCATAAAGGTGACAAATATTTAACCATGTGTCGTAGCATTCCTGGCATGTTGTGAAATCACCGTGAGGCATCCTAAGACACTTTGGGAAATGACCAAGAATCGGTCACCGTAGCGCAGATGTATTCACCATTTGAGGTCTTTTAAAGCTTGAACATTTTCGCTAACCTTCATCTTCAAGTTGTTTTTGCTCCTATACACTTTTTTCAACTTTGATGTCAGTCTTTTTCTACCAACTGGTTGTTTGCATACTAATATAAATTCTGGCAACTTAAACGGATGCACTTTGTGTGAGCTTCTACGTTAATTTCGTCTGTCTTAGATAATTGATGTTACAACGTCTTGCTTTGATTATCTTAAGCTTTCTTTCAGCCTTGTCTTAGTTCGCCTGACATCATGTTTCGAGGTAGGCAGAAGCCCAATATACGCATCACAAATTCAAGCCACACCAGATAGTGAAGGCTTACAGTCTTATTAATGAATTTACCGAGTACTCTGGAGGACCCTAACTAGGTAGACTACACCTTCCTACACGACTCAAATCAGTAGTCTGAAGCTTCATAGACTGGTGCTACGCCTTGGTCTGGCCACCATGAGCTTTCTGTCAACCGAATCTAACTTCACTTAGCATTGCACGTCGAAGTAGCCGGTGGTTGGCATGGATTACACATGTCTACTACGCCTGAGTTGGTGAAGGTTCAGAACCTCATCTATCGATTTGCTTATTGCCCTTCGTCTGACCTTTACATTGATAACGAGGTGACTCCACCATATACGAGAAGTGCTACGAAGACACTTGTAGTTAGAAACCTGTAACCTCTTCATATTTTCTACTTTGAACGACCACGTCTCACTGTCGTATAACTGAACAAAATGGACTGGAGCGCAGTATACTTGTCCTTTGATTGATAGTTGGATACCTCCCCGGTCGGTACCACAGATGACTCAAGCTGCTAAACGATAAGCGGGTCTTCTGTATCGGAGCAGATGTTTCGTCAGTAACCAGTCCGTTAGTTTGACGCAACTCCCCAAGTAAATGAAGTGGTCAACGTATCCCACCATCTCACCCCCTACCACTAAACTGGAAGTACCTACAAGTCAATCTTGGAGCATCATTTTATATTTGACAGGTGTGAAACGCATCCCAAACGTACTCAGATTTCTGCTCAACACATTCCCAAGACCCTCTCAGCATTTTATCAGCATCTCCACCAAGCAGGACAATATCGTCTACATACTCCAAGTGAACATGATGCCCTCCAAAGAAGGAAGGTCGATGTCTGGGGCTAGATGTACCTAGTACGTCTGTACCGAAGTTGAGCAGGGACACTGATAGCACGCATCCCTGGAGGATGCCACGGCTTGTCGTTAGTTAGATATCAGCTCTCCATGAGCCCTTTGGTACCTGCACGAATTCGAGTAGAGAGCTTTGATAAGCATTTTATAATTGCTCGGTACTCCCTTAACAATCAGACACTGCCACAACACCTCGCGGCCGGCTAAGTCAAATGCCACCTCCAGGTCAAAAATATAGTAAATATCAGCCGTCCGTAAGTATGCCTATGTTCCAGGACATGTCGGACGGTGAAAGTATGATCGAAGCACCTTGTTCCATGTCTGAAACCTATCTGGTTTTATCGAGTTTGCTCTTCTCGAGCTCCAGTTAGGCATCAAATAACTGTAGACCCAAGGATCTTGCGCACAACATTTGTTAAACTATTTCCCCCTATGGATGTCGCAAGAAAACTTCCCTCACTTGTAAGCTGGGATGAGCAGTGAAGTACACCAGTCTGACGGAACTACCGCTGATTCACATACACCATATAGTACTTCCGTCACTCTACTGAGTAATTTTTTACCTCCATAATTGAAAACTTCGAGTAGAAAACTGTCAGGTCCTGCTGCTTTGCGTCGTTTCAGGTTGGATACAGCCTTCTCAACTTCAAGGAGAGTTGGAGGATCGACATCTACGTCTCATTCGAGTTCAGGCTGCATGTTGAACTGATGCTTTCCTGTGTGATATTCTACGCTGATTTTGTTTGTCTGTCTGCCTGAAGCGTTTCTGTAGGCCAGTTGAACTGTACTTCAAAGTGTCCTCCACGATGTTCTAGCCCTCTGCCCCAGGAGGTTACCAGGGTACATTCCTTTTCTGTGATGACTTCACCAACCATCGTCTTTTTCTTCCCGGTATCCTTAATAAGCCCAAATAGTTGCTGGGTGTTACGCAACGCTGATGCCTCTTCCATCTATCTCACACTTTTTCACCACCTACCACTGCTCGTGATTGATGCGAAAACTCCTGGTCAATTAATGTTTGAATTGCTTTTGCTCTTCATCGTAGTTAGAGGCAGCGGGAATCAGTCTCCTCGTATCAATCAGTTCCGATGATATCGCACAAATCCAATGACGTTTGCTGACCTTCGACTGTAGGTTGCCAACTCTGTACCGCTGTTTCTACAGTAGGTCTAATAATACTCCAGGTTTCCTCAGGATGAGGATTGCTGTCATGTTCAGATAAATGCTTAGCTGACTCCCCCCTAAATACATATTTGGCATCCTCCTTTTTTCAACCAACTGTTTCCTGCGACCAGTAAGGTGGAGGTATACACGAGCCTGTATCAGCACGTGAACAGAGTCTAAACTGATGCTCTAGATATAGCGACAATCCTCAAACAATCGCTTATAACAATGTGATCTATCTGTGTTCGTCGCTGGTTTGAAGTTAGTGGGCTTCATGTAAGACAGTGTCTCTCATCCTTGAAATTATTGTTGCCCAGAAACAGGTGATTATGAGAGCAAATTTTCGTCAGACAATCAATGTTGTCAGTTCTTTGGAATTAGATTCATTAAATATCCTCAAGTTACCTTTTCGATCGGCTCAGTTTCCGTATTTGATTTTTAAAGTCACCTTCCATTATGATCACATCTGAACCTTTTGCTTTCTGTAGCAAAGTTGACAGCTCCTCATAAAATTCATCCTTTGCATCATCCCAACAGTCAGTGGTTTGATAGGTGAAAATTACGTGTAGGCATCGGGTGATCTCTCTAGTCCTTGCGGATTCACTCAGTCCAAAAGCAAATAGATGACTGTTTACTGGTGTCCAGTTGAGAAGCACACTTTCTGCTCTACAACTCAATGCTATATCTATACCAGCGATTCCACGAGAGATAACCATCGGGTCTCCGGTTACTCCTTAAGTGAATTTTGAAGACTCACTACTATTGCTGAGTGAGGTCAATTCAATACAATTTGGTGGGTTTGTGTGGATTTTTATTGATTTCAAGTTGATATTCATCATGGAATGACATCAGTTAGACGAAATAGCCGTCCAGTACTTCCAAGTTCCCAGTGTTTCTGCAACTGATATCAATCTATGATGAATACCAACTTGAAATCAATTCAGTAACTGAACTCGGGTCATGTATACATGTCTCAGAGACAGCATACAGTCATAGATCGAGATTCAAGAGTTTTGTCGAGGGTTGCTGGCTGTCCGATTTGTCATAGAGTTTGGATGTTGAGAACTCCTACAGGAGATCGATTGGGGGTCGGGGACTAGGAATGAGATTTCGATGGCTTTGGTCGTTGACAGTGGTTGCAGAGTGAGAGGTTGGGTAGTGCATAAGAGACCTGATTTTAGTACAGGAGATAAAGGCGAAGAAGGTGATGGAGTTGAGGAGAATAGGGTATGTTTGACTGGGCCTTGTGTACAACTGAAAACTTGTGGGTAGTTGACACTTTGCGGCTACCCACACAGTGGAAGGCTATTTTTCCATAAGGCGATTGATAGAGGCTTTTTTTTATTATTTCAGAGCCTATAGGACATCTACTTTGAGGCCTATCACACAAGACCTTTTATGGATGTTGTTTTAATGTTTGTTTGTTCTGATCGCTGATAGGAGAAACCTATACCGCCAGCTCTGGAAGACCTTAGGGCAGAGACGAGTATGCACTTTTTGTGGCCCACCTTTTCTAATTGCCCCGTTCCCGTTAGTAAACCATCATTGTGGCGCTGTTGGTAATCTATGAGAAACACCTTACTGCTGTCACACCCTATCCTGCCAGTAGCATTTCGACTTCCTCCTCAGACACCCATCATAGTGTAGTAATTCACATTACAACGGTGACTGCTTTTCATCTAACCACTATCCAACAGATTTTCCTGGTATGGTTAGGATCTCGAGGTAGCAAGCGTTCCACTAGCATAGTTCGTTGGGTCATTGTGATATACAAGCCTGACCACCACGTCAAGGTAGCAGCTATCGGTCTGTGTCTCAAGATTGTAGCTTAGACAAGTTGGAGTATCAGCTTATATGTGGAAGTCAGGTTTCATCCCCTTCCGACTGATTTTATTTTCTGATTGTCATTGTCTTCAAGAGACTAGAGAAATCCTCTTGCGACATACAAAGTAATCAGTTTGACCAACTATGTCTTGGATTATGTAATCATCCAACTCCTAACTGGAGCTAGACGACAACAAATCGTTACTCTCCGTTGGTTTTTGGAACTCAGATGTCCCTCTTTGCCCTCGATGCTTATTGTGTTTCTTTATCTAAAGGCGGTATTTGATCTCGTCGATGGAAATGAAATTTTGGTTCGCTGAGTGAGCACAACTTTCTGAATACTTTGTACTGGTCACTAATAGGCGATTATCTCCTCAGTACTTCCTCACCGCAAGGATAATTCAAATTAATTGACTGCGTATTGTAGGAGAATGCAATGAAGAACATCTTTCTGGCTCTTTTCCTTACGATCCTAATAAGCACCTTTGTGGAACTGTGGCTCACTTATTTCACCAGTTGACTTATAACCACTGGGTCATGGGTCTTAATCCCACTCCGCATACTGAGGTCTGAAGAGCTGGTTTGAATAGTTAGATCACACATTAGGTGTGACTCCGTGCCTACTGCACGAACGTGAACGTGGTTGTTGAGTGTTTTTCGATGCGATTTTAGAGTTTTTATCTGAATCTTTGATTACCTGATTGATTCTATTTTGGATTTTGTTTTAAGGTTATGGTCGCAGAGGCACTTGATATCCAACGAGAAACTTACTTTGCCATTCTTATGGATCGAGAATCCAATTCACCTGTCATTGTTGCATGTAAACAAGGTGGAATGGATATTGAAGAGCTAGCCAAGAATTACCCTACCGCTGTTATCAAGGAACCCATTGACCTAACTGTCGGTGTTTCTGGTTAGTGCTTAGAAGTTTGTTTACTGTTTATTTGTTCATCTGAATTTTCATGTGATGCTGGAGTACTTAGAAACGACTTAAATGTGATACTTCAGGTTTTATACTATGTTTCTAATGTCAAATTGCCCGGTAGTGTCAACTGTTGCTTAGAACGAATTAGATGTATTGAGTTCAAACTTACGACTTTGTCATCCAAATTGATCATAGACTCAAATTTAAAAACTATGAGAACTTTTGGATTGATCTCTTATATTGAACAGCCTAGTAACACGTTTTCATTCAAATAACATGTTGTATAATGCAAAGTACGAGTGAATAAAAATGCATTTTCACCATATAAAAATTCTGTGACGTATCATAACAGTTTGATAGGTAAGTGCTTTTATTAGTCTTAGTGACTAGCAAAAGATTCCAGGACGCGCGTTTCGTCCTACTTGTGACTCGTCATCCGAATGTACCTGCACCTAAGTGAGTGATGGTTTTTAATTAACAACAAAATCTCTGCCCATAATGTATGCAAGTCGTTTGGTTTCTGTCGTAATGACAAGCTGTGCAACTTCTGGTACAGGACAACATCTTTTGCTTTATTTATATCAGTTTGGAAGTTGTCTTGTGTTTTGCGATCTTGTCGTTGCGTGTTACATACTACCCCTTTGGTGTGTGCTACAAGCTCTCTTTTGTTCTGTTTTAATAACCAAACGATATAAGTATTAAACGTGCAGATACTGATGCCATTGAGACAGGTAGTTCTGTAGAAAAATACCAGGTACTCCATTTACTCATCTCGTGATTGTTATAGTAATCTGACCTAGTTTAAACTCAGTTATTCCTGAACTTATTACGTAAGTAACGTATGATGATTGGTAATAGTAATCAAGATCATAAAACCAAAGTGATGATAAAGTGGGTCAAATAAAATTTTTATTTGTGTACAGAATGTATACAAGCGGTGAATCCATGTCAAATAAATAAATAATGCATTTGCAGTCCATGCTATCCTCCACTACCGCAGAATTGACGTTGAAAACATAAAAAATTTGATGTCTCATGTTATGATGAATCCTTGTGAACTTAACAGAAAGAAAGTTTGAATGCCCCCACCTACTTGTACATAATATCTGCAAAACGTATACTATTTATAACTAAATGCATCCATCCATACACATTTGTAGACCTTATCTTTCATCTACAAGGCTTTTCAAACACGTACAAACACTTATTCACATATGCATACAATGTGATGACAATACACACCACATCACCTTGAAATCACCGATTGATAATTATTGACAATAGCATCTGTTGCTGTTCCTGTGCTTGTCGTTAGTGAAAGCAGCAGCTCTGGTAGATATCTGATCGACCAAATCTCAGCAGACGGAAAAAATGTTCGCTTGGCTTTCGCTAACTTACACCATCTCTAGCCCCTCTGGGATATCTGGATATCCAACAGAGACTGAAAACACTGCGCTGCAGTACACTCCGTTACATCACATAGGTGTAAAACACGGACATTAGATATAGTGGTATTCAACCACTGTTGCCTTCCCTGCATTGATTATCTGTCATGGTATCACCCTATCAGTAATCCAAAAGTCAGATGTAGAGTACTTGGAAGGAGAAGAAAGTCAATTGATGAGGTTGTATGTCTTTATCGGTTCAAGTGACTGGAAAATGTGTTACACATGTCTAGTCACCGTCTTCTTCATGCTACAATTACGTTCAGGCTGAAAAAGAGTCAAAGCCGGTCAGGCTAAAACCATGGCGTGAGTCCATGAAGTCTTTGACTTTTGGTCTGAGATGTTTAGGGAAATGTAGACTTTCAGGTTGGTGTCTGTGTGATAACGGAAATCAGTGGTGACATGACTCAGAATCGACCTTTGTAGTTCAGATGTATCCACTCACTGTCCACATCTTATTCGAAATACTGAATTCAGTGTTCTCTTATTACGAATTTATAGTTTATCACTACTTTCTACCCCCTTGACTTCTCTCCTTTTCTTTAATCTTTAATGCTTTCTCACTTATTGATGTGATGTAAGGTGTGGCAAATGGAACCACTACGTAATATAATACCTAGTCGTATATTGATCTTGTCTCCCTACCTGTTTCCTTGTGACAAAATTAAGTGGAAACGGGGAGTACCTGGTTGATACATCGCCGACTAGGTCAGAAGCCTGCTTGGTTTCCTCAGGTTCACTGTTCATAAGGTCGCCCTAGATGAGCGGTAGTGATAAGGTAATGATGCGATAGTAAAACACTGTATGCTCGTCAGACTGATTTGCTTGTAGTCACTACAAGTGACTTTCTTTTTTTTTCTTGAAGACTAGGATAATCAGTGATTGAGATTAATCGGAGGAGATCATATCTCTTTCCCATACACTAGCTTGCACATCAGTTGGCGTAACCTTTAATCCTCGATGATCACGTTTAAATTCCACTTATGTGTTGTTGATGCCGTCTATTGTTTCTTGTTTCTTGTTGCCTATACCCTTCTCAACCTCAGTAAGGGTTGAAGGCCTTATATCAATGATCCATTAAGGATCCAACTGGATACTATGCAAATAACTAATAGCTGGAGGCTAGTTGAGCTGTTTCTCAAAGTATCCCATCCATCCTTTTCTAATGTGGTTTTATTAAGCACTGCTTTTTTGTCCTAGAGTGCTTGGCAAGTTTGAGTAACTCTCTTGTGGCACAATAAGTTGTTTGTACCTGAAAAATTTGGCAGCACGTGAACTCTTTGAATAACTTTATAATTACTTGTTTTGCAGAATAAGATGAATCTTTTAAGTTTCACCGATTTCATACCAGTGACATACAACATCGATGAACAAGTGATTAAAGTAAACATAATTATATACTTTTAATATGTTGACTGCAGTTTTGAAGGTAAAGCATTGGAAGATGACATAATTAAGAATTCGAGAGATTAAAGTCCAATCAAAGTAAGTTTATACAAGGCATATCGATGAATACTTTTAAATGAGTAAATGAGAATCAGGTATATGAAATGGCCCTTTTACATAATTGTTTGAATCGCTTAAGTTAGTGACAACGATAAGATATTAAGAGAACATAATAAGTTGGGGATTTTCTTTGATATATTTTACTTATCAATAAGGAAGTTAGTGATCAACCCTTTTTACTTTTATATTGTCTAAGTTCTCTCTCACTTTCAGCTTCTGTACACTGGAGCACCTTAAATTACCTGCCTGTTAACTTCTTTATAGGTTTTCGTTTTTGTCTTGTGTTTATAGTTTGACAGGTTATTGTTGAATGAATGCCTATTTGTTATTACTTTTTTGAAGATGGAGGTTTTTTAGAATGTACATATGTCCCTCACACCAAATACTTTAGGGAAAGAAATCCTTTATTCTTCTTCCTCCTCTAGGGTTACGAGATGGTCATTGTTTGATAAAGTTACGCACTTAATTGTTTTAGTAGATCGTATACTTATTGTGGTTTTCCGAAAAATAGCACTTAAATGAGCATCGTGCTTATTAGTAGACTATGTTACAGTTGAACACTATAAATATCATCTTACATAGATTAGATATGTTTACTAATAATACTGTTAACTGATTGGATGAATTATCTTTGGTTGTTTTATAGATGAACAAGCATCCAGATTTGCTAAAGTTCTTGGATTCATTCCTCAAACAGAACTGTATAGAGAAGCTTGTAAACAAATTCAGAAACTGTACAAAATGTTTACAGCACTTGATTGTGTCCAGGTTAGTTAAATACATATACAATTGGGTATCTTAATTTTAGGAGAGGTTTAGAATTTCTTTATTGAAAGCCTAAGCAATTAATTAATATCCTGATTGATAATACATGTTATGAAAGCTTTCACTAGATTTACCTGTTCAGTAACAAAAGAATCATTCCTTGTGTAACCAATAAAATTCTGACCATTTTCTTAAGCGAGGTAGTTAAAACTATCAAGTTCCAGCCAATTTCAGGTTAATTGGCCGTGAATTTCTAAATTCCAGTTATCGATACCATTAAAATTACCGGGTTTTTTTAATCAGAAGTTGCACATAATCCTTTGTCCCTGTTATGAATACTTTAATCTTATTAAAACTAAGCTCAACCAGCTTCAATAACTACACCTAGTATGATGTAAATATACTGTAAACAATAACTATCTAAGGAATCTTGGATCTCAGAGTATCAAGTTGTAAAATTATCATTTAAGGTATATCATGGAAAATGCTATAGAGGCCTGCCGATAGCTGCTACCTTGATGTGATGATCTGGCTTGCATATCAAAGTGACCCGACCAGCTACGCCGATGAAATATGTGTTCACTTGAGGTCTTACTATACTAGAAGGGTCTGTTGGATGGTGGTAAGGCAAAAAATAGTTACCATTATAATGTAAATTACTATTCTATGATTGCGAATTTTAGAGCAAAGTCGTATTGCTGACTGGATAAGAGTGTGACCGCAGTAAGGCGTTTTCAGTTGTTGACCACCAGTACCATGGTAAATGTGACTTTTCCCGGAAATATAAAGTTAGAAAATGTTGATCTCAAAATAAGTAACTCCCCTATCTCACAGTCTTTCGATGCTGGTAGTATGAGTTTTCTGGTTGGTTCCAACCCAGTCAAAGCTAGTCCTCAAACTCCTAGAAAGACCGTATATGGTTGGCCTCAAAAAGATATCCCCTGGGTTCTGTGGTCACGCACCGCTATTACTAGTTCAATTTTTCCTGCAGTTGCCTTGAGAAGAACCAATCTTTCATAGTAAGTACAGCCGGGAAGTGACAACTGTCCCCACAATTCTTTGAGCACTCAAGCTCCCTCAGATAACTGTCCACTTTCTGTATTCTTACCTTCTAATCTCCCTCCACATCTCTCAATCATTATTCCTACTTGATCTAGAATTGCTCCCAGCTCTTGACAACGATCTTAGTTCATGTAATAGCATTCCTGGTCTCCTAAAACTGACCTCCAGACTTCACATTTCAACTTACAATGTAAACATCCATCAAACTGACCAGCAAGCTTCGCTAGCCAAGACTAGCATCTCGGGCTGTAGGTGCGTCTTTTGTTTGTGAAACACTCATACATGACCTAAGTGGGGTTATTCACTTAACCTCACCCGGGGAATATAGTGAATCCGCAAAATTCACCCTTCGTATTTCTAGAGATTTGATGGCCAGCTCTCTTAGTCCTGTAGGTAAAGGTGTAGCACTAAGCGCTAAAACATGAAGTGCATTGAATGACTGGATCCTAATTGACATTCACCTGTGCACTGTTCCAATGAAGAGTGCAGTGAGGAATAAATATGCCTATTGGGTGTCATTAACTTCTGAACTAGTGGATGCATATGAACGTACTCCTACAGGTTTCGAGCACAGTAAAGAGTGGAAGCAACTCAAATGTAGACATAAAAGGTCTGTACAATTATCGCAAGCAATGGTGAGTAGCCAAGGCTAAAAAGATGAAGAAGGCGTTGGCGATAGTTAGCATTAAACGGTTACTTAGACTAATCAAAGAAACTAGAGAAAAACGGTCGGTGCTTAGACCATAGCAGAGAAGAGTGGGTCTGCGATCCACTCTCAGCAGAGACAATTGAAATGCTGAATGGAATATTTCGAGGAACAGTTCAACTGGCCTCTAGCCATTATTTCATTGCATGCTATCCAGTCACATACTTAATGGAACATTGATATAAGGCCTTAAAATCTTCTACATGATCAGAGGACTGTCTATAACCAGCAAAGATGAAGGGTGGACCAGTACCAAGGGTGTTTAAGGACGGTAGTCAAAGATCATAAGTCTGTCTAACTGAAGTGCTGACCAGCGTACAGGAATCTGGTATGATTCCCTCTGACTAGTCTAAATCACTAATTGTCCCAGTTTTCGAGAAAGAAAGGAGAGTCTCTTGCGATAACCACAAGCGAATCAATCTGACAAACATTATCATGGTCGTTATTATTTGTCCTTTGGGCTCCTAGTGGCCCATACGGCTTCAGTAGCACTTCGCTATCTCACTCTGTTCTCTGTAGTCTTTTGAACCTGGCTCCACGACTGCCGAGAAACTTTCATTTCTTCCTCATGCCATCTCCTTTATGTCACCCTCACCTCGGACATCCAACTCGTTTCCCATTTGGGTTCCACTCAACGGCTTGGCCTGACGCGTGATGTCCCCAATCAACCTTCTGAGTGTATGCCCAATCCAATCCATCTCCACTTCCTTCTGCATATGTGTTCGACGATAGGTTGTTGATTGGTTCGTTGCCAGTCAGAGTGAGTTCCTTGTTGCTTATTCTTATTATTCTGGCCATCCATCCGATCTTCAGTGTCGGTATCGAGTGAGCGTATGCGGTAGCTGTTGATGTATGTCTGTAGTTTACTGGAAACGCTCAAGTGAGCGTAGGCGGCAGCTGATATCTGTAGTTTTGTGGAAATGCTTTCCGTGACGTTCCACGTCTGTGAACCATCTTATGGAAGCGCTGACTTAGTGTTGCGAATCCGGATCTTGTTCACGCTTTATGCTGAGTGGAGTGGAGTGCAGCAGATCTCCACACTGATTTCAGATTAATGAAAGCCTGTTTCGCTGTCTTTCCGAGCCTGGCTTTGACGTCCTCATCTGTGCCAGTGTCGCCTGTAGTTGAAACGATGCTGCCTAAGTAGGTAGTTAGGTGAAAGAGACAACTTTCTTTATATTTCTCCCGTTTATGGTGATTGGTGCTTGTTGTTAGTGCTGTTGTTGGTTGGGTATCTTCATCACCTCTGTCTTCTCTACGTTCACCTAAAGGAAGTCCCATCTTCCCTGCCCTGTCTCCTCTGTCAACTTGTTAGTTTTCGCCTGTAGATCTCTAAGTTTGTGCGACAAGACACTAGATATAAATCATCATCGGCGAAATCCAAATCTCCTAAGATCTTTCCGTGCGTAAAACAGCGTATGCCCATCTTCTCGCTTCTCACAGTTTGTTACATGACTCAGTCTAGTCGACCACAATCAGGAAGATCATCAATAATAGTAGACAATTTTGTCTTACCCCTGTCTTCACTTCAAATACGTCACTGAGCTTTCCACCATGGATCACTTAGCATGTAGCATCATATAGCATATAGCTGCTGTTGAGTGAGGTTGATAAAGGTTTGTGGCACTGAAACCGTAATGTTGAAGCAGCAGCCAAATGAATTCTCGGTCGACGCTGTCGTATGCCTTTTCAAATTTGATGAAGTTGAGGTTGAGTTGACTGCCATTCTATGCCTAGTTCTATGATGATGCGTAGTGTTGCAATTTGGTCCGCACATGATTTGTTTTTCCTGAAGCCAGCCAACCAGCCTGTTCTAGTCGTATTTTGAATGCGGAGCATTTTTTAGTCTCTCCAGCATGATGTGACATAATATTTTGCTTGAGGTGGACAGGAGTGGAGCATGATTCCTCGCCAGTTATTAGAGGCTGTCTCCCTTCTTTGGGAGTTTGACAAGGTAGCCCTTTTTCCAATCTCCAGGTGCCATTCCTTCCTTCCAAACCTTCTGCAATAGTGGTGTGAGCATGTCCACTGTTGTCTCTGTGTCTGTTTTCAGCGCATCTGGAGGAATTCCATCTGGTCGCGTTGCTTTCTCTGCTTCCAGCAACTCTATGGCGTTCAGGACTCCACTTCGGCTTTTTTCGGAGGGCTTGTGTTCACTGATAGTCCTGTGGCTGAGCTGCTGTTGGTATTTGTTGACGAGTTGCAGGTGGTTAGTGGTGATGGTTGATTCAAGAGTCTTTTGAAGTGGCCGAACCATCGTTTCCTTTATTTCTCCTCTTTGGTGGTAACTAGGTTTCCTTCACTATCTTTCATTGGTTTCATCCGCGTTGATCTCTTCCCTTCCAGTTAGTAACCTGGTTATTTGATATAGTGTTGTCAGGTCTCTGTCTCTTTTACCTGCAGCCTGTTCTGCTTCACTTGCAAGTGTGTCGTATAGGTGTCTTTTGTCTTTTGGGGCACTCTTCTTCACTTCTTTGTCCAGTGTAGTGTTTTATACGTTGTGCTCAGTTCCTCTTTTCGTTGTTCATCCCTGCAATGCGCTGCATTGGTTCATCTTCTGTTTCACCATCTTCCTCTCCCTCCTCTATCAGCCTCCGTGTGTCCGTCGAAATCCATTCCACGTCTTGTTTCCTCTTTCTTCCTAGTACGGTTATGCAGGTTTCTTTCCACATGTCTTTGAGAGAGTTCCAGTGTTCTTCCACAGAAGTTTCTTCAGTGATGTTGCCTAATGTCTCCCATTTTGTTACGATGACTGACTGACGTGAAGATGTCCTTTGTAGTTTTGTCCTTCAATTTCTGTTTTGGATGTTGAATTTTAACTGTGGTTTATCATCACCAACTTCTTTGAAGGCTTTCAACCTGGTTTTGAAGGTAGGTTTCCTGGACTAGATAGTGAGTGGTGTGAACCTACATCTGCTCCTCTTCTTGATTCGATCTTGTATCTAGTAGGTTGTGTCTCCACTTTCTTGAGATTGCAGTGAAGTCGATGTGATTTTTGGTGTGCCTGGTATCTGGTGAAATCAACTCCATGTTGCTGCCTTGTGAATATCCTTGTATTTGTACTCAGTGCCTCCAATCACCAAATTGTTGGATGCGCAGAAGTCTGCAAAGAGTTCTCCATTCCCATTCATAATTTCACCGAGTGCTTCTCGACCCATAGTGAGTTCTCTTCCTGCGTTGTGTGCTCTCAGTTTGGCATTCATGTCGCCTCACCCATTAGAATTTTGGTGTCGCCATCTGGGTATGGTCTTGTGCATTGCTGATTGCAGTTGCCCAGCCTTCTCTCTGTGTATCCGGATTTAGGATCGGCTAGTGAACCAGTAAGCTAGGTGAGGTTAGTCTGACGAAAATACAGCTTTTGAAATTTTATTACCATCAGACGTCTAGGGCGACCTTTTGAAAAGTTAACCCGAGAAAAGACCAGACTTGTTACCTGGTTGGAGATGTATCAACCAGATATTCACCCTCCACCAGATTCTGGAACTCAGGTACACTCACTGGCACCCAACACTTCATCTGGAGTTAGCATTCAACTCCGCCGTCCCTCACCGGAAGGAATGCCTGGTAAGCCATCACTCTCCCGAAAGCTGTGTATGTTCACACCTGTGAGTGTGTTCGAGCCTATATTTAGGTATCAGATGAGTTGTGTGCGTCGAGTGGTGTCATTCAACGGTTTCCACTGTCCCCATTCTTATTTAACTTTGTCACAAACAAACAGGCAGGCAAGATCAATATAGGACTAGGTATTATTGTGTAGTGGTTCTATTTGCCACATCTTACATCATAATAAGCGAGAAAGCACCAAGAAGATTAGAGAAAAAGAAATCGAGAAGAAAGCAGCCAGGGTGGTGGAAAGTCGTGACAAACTAGCTAGTGCCAGGGGCTCCAATCTGAATGTTGTTGCACCTAATGTTTCTGGTGATGTAGTTTAAAAGTTCAAGCAACACAGTTCATCTAGTAAGCTAATTAATATAGACTTATAGAACATTGAATGCTTTCGACCAGTCAGAACAATTACGAATTTCATGTCTTAATTGTTTCGCTTTTTATATAGCTCTTCAAGTTTAAGTATGTACAATAATAGACCTAAATTTACTATAAACCTGTGATTGTAAAATTGCAATTGTTTTTATAGGTTGAAATTAATCCTTTTGGTGAGACAAAAGATGGTCATGTTGTGTGTTTCGATGCAAAATTGGCCTTTGATCAGAATGCAATATATCGACAACCGGAAATTCGTAAAATGGCTTCAGAAGTTGAAGCTGTTGAAGTGGCTGCTTCTGGTCCTAATAGTGTAACAGCTTTAGAAGCAGATGCCACACACAATGGTATAAATTATATTGGTTTGAATGATGGCAATATTGGTTGTATTGTAAATGGCGCTGGACTGGCTATGGCTACTATGGACTTGATTCATTTTCATCATGGTAAACCGGCTAATTTCCTCGACCTAGGAGGAAGTGTTACAAAGCTTCAGGTTGAACGGGCATTTCGTTTACTAACTAGTGAGTAACTGATGCTTTGTAGCTAACCTAAATGTATTGATTTTATTTGTTTTTCTGACTTATTATTAAGCTTTAGGTAACCAAGAATTAGTTCCATATTAGATTTGTTTATTTGATATAAAGCGCACAGTGATACAGTATTATTTACTTGATTACGTTTCGAGCATAAATTATTGCTCATAATCATATGATATGATTATGAGCAATAATTTATGCTCGAAACGTAATCAAGTAAATAATACTGTATCACTGTGCGCTTTATATCAAATAAACAAATCTAATATGGAACTACATTCTACCACAGTGCCCAAGTTTTTCAACCAAGAATTAGGTCATATTTTTCTTGTGTGTGTTCTTAACTAAATTCTGTAATGTACGCGTAAAGCTTGGGCTGCATAGTAAAATGTGAACCCATGATAGATTTATTTATTTGATATTAAAAACAGTACCACTTATTTTACTCTATAGCTCTTCGAACACAATTTATTACTGATTATTATCCCTACGTTACCAGCCAGCTTTTGACCTCCGATGTTTATAGCTCTACTAACCCGACTGGTAGCCGCTACAATGATCCAACGAACTATGCTAGTGGAAAGCTTGTCCCCTCGAGATCCTACCATACCAGAAAGGTCTGTTGGATAATGGTAAGACCAAAAGCAGCTACTCTTGCAGTCTAAAATACTACGCTATGATGGTATCTGAGGGCGAAGTCGTTCTGCTGCTAGCTGGATGGGGTGTGACATCAGTAAGGTGTTTCATTTGGATGACTAGCAGGGCTACGCTGATGCTACCTCCGTAATGGGAAGCGGGGTGAGGGATTAAAAAGATCGGCACCCAAAATAACACACACTCCCCCTGCCCGAACCCCTCGCGGCTTCTGATGCTTCCAATAGAGATTCGTAGTCGGATTCAAAGCAGAAAACCCAAATCTCAAAATTGCCAAAAGGCTGCATGTGACTGACATCAAGCAAATATCCCATAGGCTCTGCGGTCACACACTATCTGTTCTTTTTCAGGTACCTTTAGAGAAACTAGCTCTCCACTGTATAGGTAGCCGGAAAGTGTCAACCACCCACAAGTTTCCAGTTGTACACAAGACCCAGTCAAACATATCCCATTGTATATCATATGAAACACTGAATCTCATACTTTTTGCCTATATTCTAAAGTGTTATACATCTTGGATTCCATCTCATATGCGGTTAAATGTCGCTCAGTGTTTCCAATAACAATAAAATATCTCCTTAGCAGTACGCATCCACGACCCGGCTAGGGATCGAACTCAGGACCTTCAGGTTTCGTGGTGAACGCTCTAACCATCCAGCCACTGGGTCGGTTTTCGGTGGTTCACAATTTCCAACTTCTACCAATTCACGGTGTAGCGCGACTATCATCTATAGTCTTCAGTTAGCATCCGCTTCACTTCCGACTGATGCGTACTGCTAAGGAGTCCCATACTAGGACGAAACAGCTGTCCAGTGCTCCCAGACTTTCAATCCTTCCCCAACTGATATCAGTCGATGATGAATACTACTTCTAAACTAAAGCCCCCATTCATCTCAAAAATACAATAAAACATCTGTTTAATTAATTCCGCACTATATTTCAGTGACTGGGATAAAGATGAAAACTATGTACCGATTATTTTCTAGTTGGATCTAACACTAAATTGTAAACTTTGGGATAAAAGATGAAGTCATATCAGTGGTAAGTTACGGAATATATTGTTTTAAATGTGACTGAAATATAGTCATTCAGAATGTACCCAGGATTTATTTTCAAGTTTCGTCAACATCAATATAGGACCAGGGATCACTACATCACGGTTATGATAAGATAAGAAGAAATAAGAAGATACTGAACTGAGTGTGATGGTTAAGAGGATGACAGTGAGTGGGCACATCTTCTCCACAGAAGTCCATTGTGAGCCATGTCACCTAGAGTCTGCAGCCACTGATTCCTGCCAGCTTGAAATTCTGCATTTCCCTAAAAGTCTCAGACCAGCAGTCAAAGATTTTATGGACTCATGCTATGGCTCTAACTCTTTCCTTGCCTGAACCTAATTGTTACATGAAGAAGACGGTGACTGGGTGTGTTACACATTTTCCAGTCACTTGAATAGATGAAGACACAACCTCATCAAGTGACTTTCTTCTCCTTCGTAAAACTCTGCACCTGATTCCTGGATTACTGACATGGTGTATGTTACAAAGGTAAATGTGGTCAAACACTTGAAGTCTTCTCATATCCTCTACCTTTACTGGGAATTTTCCACAACTATACAGTATATACGCTTATAAGTTGAATTCATTCGATAATGTAAGAGTAAAACTTGCTCACCGTGGTAGAATGTAATTCCAATTTTATTGATTTATTAGATTTATCCCACAGTGTAACAGTATTGTTTACTGGATTGTTTATATGTCCGTGGTTATATTAAGATAACTACATAACTTTGAGATATCCTTTATATAGTCGTAATTTCCTTGCCCCGTTTGTGAAATGGGTAGTACGATTTTGCAAATGTCCGGAACAGGTGCTGAGTTATTTCTTGTTGCATGTAATGCGTGTTAATTCGATAAACCAAGATTTAGTTATCAATCTATCCCTCCACGATGCTGGGTAATCGGATGGATATCTACAGTCGAGCTTTTTTCTAAATTCCTTACCTTACTAGGATTTACCAATTTTCATCGAGATAGGTTTTTATGTATGTATTTGACCTCTCACCCGTTCCAAGGGTGAACTAAGTTATTCTGTTTGACAGAATCAATAGGACCTTTTAACCTACAAAGTTTATTTCTAAATGTTTGTAGGTTTACATACCAGTCTAACCCGAGCATTATTGAGAATCCAACATAGTATTTCTGAGGTGGCTTCTTTCTATGGTAATACTGTAGAAGTTCTGAATTCTCTCTTCACAGTATTGCCACTACTACTATTGGCATCAATATTACCGCCATTGATATCTGTGTTACTAATATTTTTTCTTACGATTCCTAAGGAACTTATCAATGAATTTGAGAGGGTAATTGTTGGTGAATCAGGTGTCTTTAATGTAGCTGGTTTCTTGTCTTAGATCTTCTGTTTTATTAGTAAATTTTTTTGCCCTGTTATTTAGACACTACAAAACCAACTTTAACTCAATCTATTCGATGATAAATTACTATTATTTGTCCCTTGGATTTCTAGTGAAACATAGGGTTTCAGTAGCACGTCTCCATCACCATTTCACTCGCTTCTCTGCAGACTTTTCAACCTGGCTCCACCACTGCCCATAACCTTTCATTTCTTCTTCATACGGTCTCCTCCATGTCACCATCGGACACCCAACTTGTCCTTTCCCATTTGGCTTCCGCTCGAAGACCTGGCATGTGATGACCCAATAGGGTTCTCAGTGTATGTCCAGTCATCATCAATATCAACATACTACCAGGTATTACTGCGTAACGGTCCGAGTTGCCACACCTCATATCAGTACATCAAGTAAAAAGGCAGTAAAGTGGAAGATGAAGAAAAGAAAATTCTGTCAAAAGAAGTATGAAGTGCTACAAGAGAGAAAGGAAAAATGAGAAAGTGGTGAGATTCGGTATCGCGTCGTTAAGGTGAGGATAATGTATGTATACATCTGCCCCACTGACATCAGTTCTCAGCTATATCACCAACAGTCTCCAGCCACTGGTTCCTCTTTTCCCATGGACCCCAACCACCTAGTCTGCATCATCCCACATAGCTCAAACCAACAGTCAGAGACTTCATGCATTGATGCCATGTTTAAGTCTGGCCACCTCGGGCCTTTTTCCAGCCTGGACCCACCTCAGCCAACATTGTGTGACCCGGCAATCGATGACTAGGCATACGTAATACGTGTCCCAACCAGCCATCTCAGTCGATGAAGGTTCACAACCTCGTCAACTGCCTTACCTATTCTCCTTAAAACTCTACACCTGACTTCTGCATTACTCGCGTGGTGACACCATGGAATACGGCTTATACTAGGAAGGCAACGTTGGTCAAACACCTGGAGCACTCTCGTATCTCCCACCTTCAATGGCCATGTTTCACAGTCATACAGTAGAACAGAGCGGACTGCTGTGCAGTACACGCGACCCTTAACAGACAAACGGATATCACGGCGGCGCCATAGGTGGCGTAAGTTGGCAAAAGCCAGCCGAGCCTTTTGTATTCGTGCAGAGATTTCATCGACCACTGAGCCACCAGGGCTGATGCTACTTCCATGGTAAGTGAAGTGGTTGACACACTCAATCACACTCTCTATTGTTAGCTGCGGTGGGGCACTGTTGAAGGCCAGTTGCGGAGCAACAGTTTGCATTTGGGTGGTGAGAAACGCATCCCAAGCATTCTCAAATTGCCACTCAGTGTGCAGAAGACTGCATCTATTCAGCACCTTCACCTAACAGGACTATGTCATCTGCGTATTCTAAGTTTAACGAAAATTCTCCTGCGATTAGGTGACGAGAGGGAGACCTCCATGAGAATATCTATGATAAAATTGAATGAGAATAGAGAAAGTGGGGACCCTTGATGAATACTCGACGAGTACATCTCCCCGGATATCTCATCATAGACTCTAACGCGTATTTGTACTAGATTGATAAGTAATTCGTATATCTACCTTCCTATAATGTGTTAAACTGTTATGATTCACTTTAAAGTTCTTTAATTTAGATGGATGTGTGCGGTAGGTTAGTTTCCGAATTTGTTAACAAAAGAGTAACACCCTACATCATCTTGTTATTAGTTTGACTGTAAAGCTTAGAAACAGAATTAACAATTTTTAGTGTGAACCAGTGTCTTACAGTCGATTGATCATATCCAAGATTCAACTGGGTCTGAATGACAGAGAAGTAAATTCGCTTGAAAATGCTTTCTTATAGCAATAATTCATCGTTTGTATGCTATCTAAAAAGTATTCACATCTCTGTGTTTATTGGCTCTAGTGTCTAATCATAACACTTTCGTTTATTGACCATACAGAAATAGTCTTAAAGCTTTGAGTTTTGTTTGATGATAATTCGTCTATCAGGTTACTTTTTTTTACAACATACTTCTACGTTGACTTTTTTTCTACCTAGTTTATTTTTTCTTGTAGGAGATGTTCGCATTAAATGTATTCTAGTCAATATATTCGGTGGGATTGTCAACTGTAAAACTATTGCTGAAGGTCTGATATCAGCTTTGAAAGAGAAAGTAACTAATATCCCAATTATTATCAGATTAGAAGGAAATAATGCTAGCGAAGCTCAATCTCTTATCTCTAACAGTGGTTTGGAATTGTATGCGGCCAACAGTTTAGACGATGCAGCAATACTAGCCGTTTTCAAGGCAAATGACGATACTTTTGAAAAATCCACTAACCCTGTGATGATTTAACTCTTTGCCACCTATTTTGTATCTATTATTTTAATGATTATACTTTTTGTAGGTATTCGTGGATTCAGTTTTTATTTATTTATTGCATTTATTTGATTTAGTGTTCTATTGTTTGTATCTTACTGAAAGATAGGGGAGTGTTTTCTTTCATTATAATCAATCGATTCATATGCCTCCAGATAATTTTACGTTGTTTTTGTGTTCCAGGTTTTCTTTCAAGGCATTTTAAATGACTTAAATCGCCTCAATTTTAAATGTGTCAAAGATACCATCTAATCCTAGAAACAAATTTTAAGAACTTATCAATCAGTATTATCGCAGATTGTTTTAGTCTCATCGACTTATCTGGATATTCATAAGAATATGTCAGTGTTCTGTAAACTGTGTAAAACAGTTGCAAATGTCGATATCACATTACGTTAGTGAATAGAAAGTTACTTATTATTATTATTATTATATGATTTGTCTTTTGGGTTCCTAGTGGAACATAGGGAGGGCTTCATTAGCACGTCCCCACTTCACTCTGCTCTCTGCAACCTTTTTAACTTGGCTTCACGACTGTCCAGAAACCTTCATTTCCTCCTCACACGATTTCCTCCACGTTACCCTCGCCTCGGACGCCCAAACCACCCTTTCCCATTTGGGTTCCACTCGACGGCTTGGCCTGATGTCCCCAATTGGCCTTCTCAGTGTATGCCCAATCCATCTCCACTTCCTTCTGCACATGTGTTCGACGATAGGTTGTTGATTGGTTCGTTGCCAGTCAGAGTGAGTTCCTTGTTGCTTATTCTTATTATTCTGGCCATCCATCCGATCTTCAGTGTCGGTATCGAGTGAGCGTATGCGATAGCTGTTGATATATGTCTGTAGTTAACTGGAAACGCTCAAAGTCTGTGAACCATATAGAAGGACCGAGTTACTTGACATTAGTGTTTAACATGTAGATCTTGTTCACGCCTGATTCTGAGTGCAGTATACCTCCACACTGATTTCAGGTTAATGGAGTCCTGTCTTGGTGTCTTCCCGATCCTGGCCTTGACGTCCTCATCTGTGCCAGCGTCGCCTGTAATTGAAACGATGCTGCGTTGCCTAGGTAGGTGGAAGAGACAACTTCGTTGAGATTTCTCTCGTAGATGGTGATTGGTGCTTGTTGTTGTTGCTGTTGGTTGGTTAAGTATCTTCATCACCTCTGTCTCCTCTACATTCATTTGAAGGAGGTACCGTCTTCGCTACCTCGCCTCTTCTGTCAACTTGTTAGTTTTCGCCTGTACATCTCCGAGTTCGTGTGACATTAGACTTAAATTATCATCGTTGGCGAAATCGTCTAGGGTCTTTTCATCGGTCCAGCCACCGTATGCTCATCTTCTCGCTCATCACAGCTTGCTGCATGATCCAGTCGACCACAATCAGGAAGATCATCGGTGATAGTAGGCGGCAACCTTGTCTTACCCCTTCCTGTCTTCACTTCAAAGGCATTACTGAACCCTCCGTTGTGATTCACTTGACATGTGGCGTCTTCATGTTGTCGCTGAATGTTGTTGATAGAGTTTTGTGGCACCAAAACCGTAGTGTTGAAGCAGCAGCTGCCAAATTACTTCTCGATGGAAAGCCTTATCAAATTCGATGGATTTGAGGTAGAGAGTTGACTGCCACTCTATGCTCTGTTAATATGCGTGTAAAATTTAGGGACTGTGGTGGAATTTAATTCTATATTAGATTTGTTTATTTGATTTATAATACACAGTGATCTAGTATTATTTACTTTACGACGTTTCGAGCATAAATTATTGCTCATAATCATGTCATATCCCATTGATATGATTATGAGCAATAATTCATGCTCGAAACGTCGTAAAGTAATACTAGATCACTGTGTGTAATAAATCAAATAAACAAATCTAATATGGAATTCTATGCTCTGTTCTATGATGATGCATAGCGTAGCGTTGTAGTTTGGTCCGCACATGATTTGTTTTGCCTGAAGCCAGCCAGCCTGTTCCGGTCGTAATTTCGAATCCAGAGGATTTTTTAGTCTTTCCAGTATGATGCGGCCTAACATTTTGCTTGGGCTGAACAGGGGTGAAGCATGATTACGCACGAGTTCTTGTGAAGACATGTCTTTGTGAGTTTGACAAGGTACCCCTTCTTTTTCCAATCGACGGGTACCTTTCCTTTCAAAACTTCTGCAATAGTGGTGTGAGCATGCTCCTAGGCCAATGCTCTCTCCAAACTAATCGGTTCTCAACACTCTCCAAAGGTGATAATGTGACTATAGCTTTGTAAGTTGGAACTGAATTTCAACTATTGCCAAGAGATGAATTACGCGACTTATCAGTGACTTCTGAGAAACATTCAAGCGACTACATTACGAGATCGAAAACTAATAACTCTTTTTCGGATTACATGAGGCATAGTAACCGACATCTCATAGTGATAGTAATCTCAAACATCACAATCTCTACTTCAATTCGCTTTTGACTGGAGATATGTCTTTTATGTGTTATTGAAGAATTGGATTACCTCGTTATCTTGGATAGCAAGTCCTGAAATAATTTCGTAGTGTTTTACCATGCATTCCCTATGTTGAAGCTGCTTGCACGTATCTATATCCGTTGGTTTACTATGGAGATTGAACACACATCAAAACTGTTCTGAATGCATTTTAGCAGCAGGAAACTCACAAATGCTCCATTTTCATACCCGGTGACACGAACACTTTGGTAAAGACTTCAGTCTGAATCCGTCGGATGGTGGCAGGAGAACATACCACTGATTTTTGTTGATGCACATACGTAGTGGACTAAAAACTACTGTATGCTACGATGGAGGCAACAATCGCAAGCTCATTCATCTACTTCAGGGTACTGGAAATCATGGTAACTTTCAAACTGACACAATTTAATTCCCCAACTTTTTCAGCTTCTCGTTGAAAGAATCCGACCTACCATTTATGTTTTACGTTGTCATCAGAGATAAAAACGACCAAGCAGAATATGTTTTGACACTCATAAACAGGCTTTATGGACGGGTGAGAACAATCTCTGTGCACAATCACGTGCATCTTTTCAGCAGAAAGTTTGTTCCAGCTTACTAGGAAACTTAATATGTGATTTCGGTCACTTAGCTAGAGGGTTGTGACTATTCACTTACCATATGTGTTCCACGAGTAGGCACTAGTGATCTTTACCAAACAATTGATTTGTTGAAGTAGGAAACGGTTGCCTTTTTTTGTGTCACAAAACTATTGTCAGTGGTGTTGAAGACATCAAAGTAACAGGTGATGTTGAAACCTGTTTTTCAGGAGACTTAGCTACAAATCTTCTCTATGACTAGGCCAATTCATTAGGATGAGGAACTTTGTGGGAATATATGATAACAACAATATATATTTCGAACAACGACCTATACGAACACATGCCACTTTTATAGGCAATATATGAATGTTATTTTCCTTAGTAAAGCTGAAACTTCTAGAAAGGAACAAATCATTGCGCCATACAAAATTTTCTGAAGCAAACAGTTGTTTGGATAGTGCTGGTCACAAGTATTGGGTAAAAGCCATACTGTTAGACAGCAGCCCGACCGATAGCTGCTACCTTGACGTGGTGGTCGGGCTTGCATATCACAATGACCCAACGAGCTATGCTAGTGGAACACTTGTTCCCTCGAGGTCCTACCATACCATAAAGGTCTGTTGGATAGTGGTTAGATGAAAAGCAGTCACCGTTGTGGTGTAAATTACTACACTATGGTGGGGGTCTGAAGGCGAAGTCGTACTGCTGCTAACTGGATGGGGTGTGACAGCAGTAAGTTTTCCCCTGGATGACCAGCAGTGCCATGCTGAGGCTGCCTTCTCAGTGGAAGGGGGGTTAGAAAAGGTCGGCCCCAAAAATAACATTCCACCATGCCCCACGGTCTGCCCTGCAGGCGGTATTGGTTCATTTATCGTTTCTTTCCGACCATCCGGCCCCAAAAGTTTAAAATAACCATACACAAAAGGCTGGACGTGACAGGCCTCAAGCAGATGTTCAATGGGCTCTGCGGTCACACAAATCTCCACCAGGTACCTTGAGAAGAAATAGCCTTCCACGGTGTGGGCGGCCGGGAAGTGTCAACCGCCCTCACAATTCGATCAGAACTCAAGTTCCGACAGACTGGTATCCATCCCCCACCCCATCATTACCTTCTAACCTTCTTGCCCGTCTCTCAATTAATGATGCTACATTATCTTCAATTTCTCCTAGCTCTGCAGCCTTCGACAACAATCTGAGTCTACAAAACAGCATCCCTGGTCTCCTTAAACTACGCTCCAAATTACATATTGGAGCCTTTTAATGTCCTCACCCTTCGTCAAATCGGTCAACAGGCTTCATCGGCAAAGACTCTAGCAACTCGGGCCATGGATGTGTGCTGTGTTTGTGAGACACGCATACAGGGCTCAAGTGTGGTTATTCACCGCTGTCTCTTTGTAATCTCGGCTTACGCACCCACCACTGACTGCAGCTTGGATGAAGTGACGAACGAGTTTTACCGAAAACTGTCTAGCCTCCTCTCGAAAGCCAAAGGCTTAGACGTGGTGGTTGTTGCAGGTGATTTCAATGTACAGGTGAGTAGACTGAGCCAGGCAGAAAGGCACTTAGGTGGCACTTCCGGAATCCCGGCTGAATGAACAGATAACGGCGATCGCCTATTACAACTGTGCTCAGATAACCGCCTAATTTTAGCTAGCATAAATCTCAGACATAAAGAGAGACATTGTCTGATGTGGCGTCCACCTAGCTCAACTCAACGATGGACACAGATAAACCACATTGCTATCAGTCATAGCTAGAGAGGATCAGTGGAAGACTGCCGCTCCTTCTGGAGTACGTGTTTGGATAGAGACCATGCGTTGGTCCGAGCACGTATATCCCTGCGTCTCAATGGACGTAGGAAATATTTGGCAACTAAGCCATCACAAGTGCTGCTGGACAACGAAAACATTAAAGCCGTGTTCAGTGAGTTGACTAGGCAGTTATCGGAACAGAAGACTATCACTCAACCAGAAGAAGCTTGGTGTCATCTCGAGTCTGCTGTAAAAGCAGAGCTGAAGGCCGTAACTGACTCCGAAAGAGTGGCTAAAAAGAGCCAGTGGATATCGTCAGCTTCTTCCGAACTAACGGATGCACGTGAGCGTGAACGAAGGCTAAAAAGATAGAAAGGGCAGCGGCGATTGATAACAGTAGACAGTGATTTGGACTAATTAAGGAAACTGAAGGGAAAAGGTCAACTGCGGTTAGTGAGGCTATAGCGGAGAAGGATGGATCTGCGATTCACTCGCAGGAGAGACGACTGGAACGATGGGGAGAACACTTCGAGGAACAGTTTAACTGGCATCCAGCCACCATTACGTTGCCCGCTATCCAATCGAGTCCTGAATGAAACATTGAGATAGGCCCCCCAATACTAGCAGA